GTATATATATGTATATTTATTTATATTTACTTGTTTATATTATTAGTAGTAGTATTAGTATTTATTATTATTATGTTTTTTTAGTAAACACCTTTTTATATATATATTTTTTTTCTACTGCAATATTTTCGTGTTCTGTTTAATAACAGTAATTAAGTTTATACTGATTTTGTTATTGTTGCACATCTTTTACGGTTGTGCGTGTTAAAAGAGAAGCAATAAAGTTAAAGTTGTGTGTTTTTTGTGTTGTTTTGATAATATATCACTAGGGTAATTTTTTATATTTTTTCTAATTATTCTTTATTCCTCATAAAATATGATTTTTATGAAAATTCCTTTCCTTGGCAAGACATCATAACATTGTTAAAATTTAAGACATACTGTATATTAAGACTTTTTAGTCAACATGGTGTCTTAAAACACACCATGTTGCTAATAACCGAAAGGTCCACTAATTAAAGATGATTTAAAGTGTAAGCTAGTTAATCATTGCTACAAAAACAATATCACATACCATTCCAGCAGTATATCCGGAAAAGTTGATTCCTGAAGATGACATAATTAATGTCTAAATATTGAATTCCAACACGATGGCATACATTTCAATACTTGGAGTATGTACAGTATACTATCTTATCTTGCTAATACATGTAGCCAAATTCTTCAACAATAACAAACTTTATTAGGAATATTATTCATCAAATACTTTTTGATTATTGTACATGGTTTTCTGAAAAAAATAATTTACCAGCTAAGTAGCAGATGTTTTCTAGAGATTTAGTGATTATGCAAAGAAAGAAAGGTGTTGGAACAGCATGTTGAAGCTTGCGTCATTTTCCTCATTGTTAAAATACATTGATTTCTTGCATAGTTCTTGCAAAATGCAGTCAGTTATTTAGCCTCATATATGATGGGTGTACACATTAGTTTTATTCTATAAGAATGGAAAAGCACCTTAGTAATTTACTAATTATTTTTGCAGTTTTTACTAATTATTTTTCCAGTTTTTGGAAATAACCTCAAATTTCCACTGTTTAATAGTATACCATCATGAACATTACACTATTTAGATTTTGATAGGTTGTCAGTGCATCTACCATACTTGCCTTTCATCTCAGAAAAACTAGGGCCCGATTTTTGCTACGCATCGCTGCAGATGAGGTAGCTGTCCACGACACCGTTGAGAAGGCATCCTGATTTGTTGCCAAGGAAATGTCATCAGCTTCATCTCGACGATCATCATTCTTCATTTTGCGTATGGAAAGAGCATATACGCTATAAAGAGAAGACTAATATAAATGAGTAGAGCTGAGTAAACCATAACTTTTGTACAAATGTAAACTAGGTTCTAACTTAGTGTAGTAACAACTTTGTCAAGGTAGGCAGGTCCAAGAAACAATTATTAGCCACATAATAATCATTATAAATTATTATAGTACTTAATCATTCACTTAATATACCGTATTATATATTTAAATAAATAATTATTTTGTTATTAAATATTGTATCCATATCTATGTCTATATAATAAAAAAAAGTGATTATTTAACATTTGTACCAGACAGGATATTGAGGATGGAAACTACAAATGTTTTTTTTCGTGAGACTCCGAATGGGTGGTTTTCTTTCACAATTCCAAAGAACTTTGTGAGCAACACTGCCTTTGGCATAGGCATTTATGCTATGCTTATAAGGCTTTCTGCATGACGACAGTGTTGATTATTTTCTTAATCAGCATGATAACTTGATGTTAAATTATCATCAGCATTTGTAGACAGGCTGGTTGGTCCGATTAAGATCTTATTTTGCATCAGTGGCAATTATTCAGTTAATTTGCTGCAATCCTAAAGAAAGAAAGAAAGAAAAAAAAAACACATCCCCTTTTTTTTTGGAAAGTGGAGACTAAACAAGTAGACGTATTTTTCAATTTATTAAATGGTTTATTTGTGAGGTTAAGGTTGGCAATTAACACATTCTGCTGAATTATTGTATGATAGATAAGGGGTGGGCCCTGTTTCAGTATAGAGATTTAGTTCATTTTGGTTGGCCCTGGTCTCCCCATTTGTGTTTGACCAAATAAATAATGATATGAAAATAGATAAGACGAACACTATTAACTTGGTCTAAATTTGTACTATGATGTTAAGAAATATAAAAAATATGTTGGAAAAATTTAATTTGTCTTTATTTGATTTGATTTATTTTAATATGCACTTTAACAAATATAACAGAAACAAAAGCACATGAGCAGATCGAATCACAAAAAAGCATATAAGGGATAAAGTTGAGTAAAGTTGCTTGAAAAGACAATTATTTCTGTAGGTGTTCCATACATGAAGTAACTCTGCAGATTAAAAATGAAATTTTGTATTTCCAAAGTTTTCCATAAGTTTTTGTGTGTAAATATAATTAATGCTTACTATTGCTACTGGTATATCATATGCATTGTCTTACTTCGATCTACCCACATGAATGCACTAAAAAATTTCTGTATAGATTATGAAATGTTAAATTGTAGAAATTTTCACCACAGCTGTTATACACGGTAGAGATACACCATGTGCAGTATTATATTTGTTCCACTTTGAATGAAATTGCTGACATTTAGTTAGATACGCTATAAGTTACAATTTACACTGTAACCATGGTTACATCAATTAAAAAACAATTCAGATATTGATGATCTATTTATTTTGATGAGGATATCTAGTTTGTTAATTATATTGTCATTTTATGATAACCATGTAGGGACGGAGATGACAGAAGTTATTAACGAGTATCAATACCAGAATTCTTCAACAATTAGTGTAATCACTGATGCGTGACCATCTTAAGCTCTTGCAAATATATTATGTATTGTTGATAATATAGTTGTTGTTAGTGAGTTCACATCTTTCAGATGGATTGTCCCTTGAAAATAACAAAAAATCATAAAAAAATATTTTTGAAATTAACTTGCTTATTTTGCATTAACATACAATTATAGTTATAGAAATTATTGAATATTTTTTAAATACTAATTTCTATGTTCAATTTGATAATTTTATATTACTTCAAAATGAGCAAGCAAAATTTGAAAAACATTTGTTTTTTTGTTTTTTGTAGTATTATTTTCATGGAACAAATCTACTTTATTTAACTAAAATACTTCTGTAGAAGATTATGCTTTACAGTGCAAGATGATAAATTGCTAATTATAAATTTTGTCATGTCCAAGGCATAATTCTTATCAATACATTGGAAGACACTTTCTAATGTTATACATTGATAGAAATTCCAGGGGTGTGTAAATAGGAAGTGGTTATTGTCTTTAACTAGTTCCTAACAGTCCATATAAACAATATCATCCAATTAGAATTAGGAATTGGTTTAATGCCACCTAAATATCAAATAAACATTATGTGTTTCTGTTGACTTATTGGGAAAAAAAATTTCTCATTCACATTTTGAAAGGGAAATTATCTATTGTTATGCAATGCAAAACATAAAAAGGAATAATATCTTCTCTTTTATGATGTATTTAATTTTTTATTTAATTTTAATGAAGCTTTATGTACAATTGAATTTAAAATATGTTGGTTGATTTTAATTATTAATTTTAAAATTATTGGATTCTTTATTTTAGATGAAAGGGAAGATATACAGAAGAAAACATTCTCCAAGTGGGTGAATGCACAATTAGTTAAGGTGAGAATTAATTATATAATAAGTCACTTTCTTATTTCTTGCTTTCCTTCCTTCCTTCTTTCCTTCCTTACTCCCTCCCATTATGATCGTCGATACGCATGCGCGCATCTCATGTAACCACTGTGATCCGGAGGAGAGAGGAATAGAATTTCTATCAAATTTCAACTTACAGGTAAGTCTCATTTAATTATTCAATTAACGAGTATCAATACCAGAATTCTTCAACAATTAGTGTAATCACTGATGCGTGACCATCTTAAGCTCTTGCAAATATTATGTATTGTTGATAATATAGTTGTTGTTAGTGAGTCCACATCTTTCAGATGGATTGTCCCTTGAAAATAACAAAAAATCATTAAAAAAAATATTTTTGAATTTAACTTGCTTATTTTGCATTAACGTACAATAGTCATAGAAATTATTGAATATTTTTTAAATACACTAATTTCTATGTTCAATTTGATAATTTTATATTACTTCAAAATGAGCAAGCAAATTTTGAAAAACATTTTTTGTTTTGTTTTTTGTAGTATTATTTTCATGGAACAAATCTACTTTATTTAACTAAAATACTTCTGTAGAAGATTATGATTGACAGTGATGATAAATTGCTAATTATAAATTTTGTCATGTCCAAGGCATAATTCTTATCAATACATTGGAAGACACTTTCTATTGTTATATATTGATAGAAATTCCAGGGGTGTGTAAATAGGAAGTGGCTATTGTCTTGAACTAGTTCCTAACAGTCCATATAAACGATATCATCCAATTAGAATTAGGAAGTGGTTTAATGCCACCTAAATAAAAAATAAACATTATGTGTTTCTGTTGATTTATTGGGAAAAAACATTTCTCATTCACATTTTGAAAGAGAAATTATCTATTGTTATGCAATGCAAAACATAAAAAGCAATAATATCTTCTCTTTTATGATTTATTTAAATTTTTATTTATTTAATTTTAATGAAGCTTTATGTAAAATTGAATTTAAAATATGTTGGTTGATTTTAATTATTAATTTTAAAATGATTGGATTCTTTATTTTAGATGAGAGGGAAGATATACAGAAGAAAACATTCTCCAAGTGGGTGAATGCACAATTAGTTAAGGTGAGAATTAATTATATAATAAGTCACTTTCTTATTTCTTGCTTTCCTTCCTTCCTTCTTTCCTTCCTTACTCCCTCCCTTCCTTCCTTCCTTCCTTTCTTCCTTCCTTCACATTCCAAGAGAAAGTCTCACTAAGTGAAGCTGATTTTCACATCACTACAAACAAGTTACAAAAATACACACAAAGCATGAGCATTTCTATTTTCTTTTTTTCTTGAATTGGTGGAGTTCTTGTCTTTATGGGTATTCTGTTTATATATTTATTTCAAACCAAACTGATAATAATTTATTTATTGAATTTTAGATATTTAGAATTTGCTGCTTCTTGTGATTTACATTTTTTATTTATTTATTTTGTTTAATCAGAATTTTTTTCAAGAATATTTTTTGGATATAAATCTTTGTTAATAATGATAAATTCTAGAATTTTTGACATTTAGAAATTGCCTGTTCTTGTGATTAGGATTTTTTTTGTTTGTTTCTATATCTTTGAATGCCTTTTATTGGGCCTGTTTGTGTTTTATTTCTTACTCTGAATATTTTGTATTATCCAATCTGTTGTACGATTGCAATAAAATGAGTTATGATTTTTAAAAAAAAAGAGCAAATGTAAGAACAGTACATTCAAAGAAAAAGTAAAAAAAAAAACCCTAATGAAATTTTTATAGTTTTTTTTTATATAGTATAAAAATATATCATTATGTAGAAAACTAAGAAAAGATGCACACCCAATCAAAAATTAATAAAATCAAAAACCTGTGCAAACAATGTTAAGTGTACCGGTGACACCAAGGAGATGAAACTTAAGCACCCTTTTAAAGTCAGGCTCCGGAGGGAAACAAATTTTTGATATGTTGTAGAACTGATTTTTCTAAGACAGAAAAAAGTTGTTTGACGAAAAACTGGGGAACGGTGAACGAGATTCAGATTTTTGAATATTTAAAAACTGGGGGAAAAAGGTTTAAAAGAGGAAGTTGACAAACCCGCATTGCATTTAATTGTTGAAGGAAGGGAGTGCCTTAGTTTACAATTCAATTTTTAAAAGTGTTTTTATATTTGTAACATTTTGTAACATATTGAATTGTAAAATAATTTTAAATCTTATATATTTTGTCTTTTCTATGGCAGAGAAGTTGGAGAGGTATGCCCTTTGGTGATACACTTTTTTTTTTTTATAAGAACACATTTTATAAGAACACTGAGGCTGAAATTGCTTAAAAATTAAGAACAAAATAAGAACAAATTGAGGCTGAGGTAAAATTTCACATGAGGTTTATATTTTTAAAAAACAAAATATTATATCTGTACATTATGTGCAGTACAGTAGGTGTGACTGTAATACCCTCTATAATACAGTACAGTAGGTGTACCTATCTGACATTTGGGGGCCATTTTTTCTGGGGTCACTTTCACCTACATTCCAGCACAGTGCATACTGCCCTACAATTAAATAATTTTTTGTTTAAAAAGTGTGTAAACTAAGAACAAAATAAGAACATTTTGAGCCTGAAATTGGCCAAAAAATAAGACCACTAAGCCTGGGCAAAATTTTACTGGTTCTTATAAAAAAAAAAGTTTAGCAGTTTTCATGACTTTTATCTCTACGCAACTCTCCTTTTTCATTTTGTTTTGCAGAAAGGAATAAAAATAAAATATATTCCACCAGGTTTTGGCCAATTTCAAATAAACCACTTGGTTAATCAAGGCTAGAAAATACATTTTTTTTTTTCAACCTTTACAACCCAATTTGAATTAAAGACCTTCCGATTATACCATGGCAATACCCTTGACTGTTTTGGTGGACCTGTCCTATCATTTGACCTTGTTACTACACTCCTCCTATTAGACACCTATTTTTTGGAGTCCTTTAGACTGTTCACACACACCAGCTAACGGTTAGCAGGATCCAGATAAATAATCACCCTTGCATTCACACAAGAAAATCCCTGATCCAGATATCAAGAATATGATGATGAGATAACTGGCCAATAGGAAATTGGAAATACGTACGCATGATTAATTAATGATAAAAACACGCTCAACTTGCCTATTGATCCCGCTCGCTAACCGTTAACGTATGCAGATACTGGTAACGGTTAGCGTTAACCGATCAGGCATTCTCACACGGGTGCTAACGATAGCTCCCGATCCGGATACTAGGGCTCTAGTGTAAACCTAACCTTAGAGGTTGGATGTACCCACCAGAACCAGAACTGAAGCAGGACATCATAGCAGAACCAGAACTGAAGCAGGACATCATAGCTTGAGGTCTTCTCCATTCCAAAGCTACCAGCCTAGGCTAGGTTACAGCAGGTGTGGTGGAATGTTGGTTGATAATGCTGCTGAACTGTGATGGATTGATTGATAATGGATTAAATACATTTTGGTATAAATAACCTGGCATCTTTCACCAGCACCAGGTGGGCGCATACAGTACAGTACAGTAGGTCATTGCAATAGCAAAAGTATGTATTAACAGGGACCCGGGGCTGTCGCGCTATTCACCTTTTCTTCAACTTTTCCTGATCTTTCTTCTTCATCGTATATCTTCCATCTTATTTCTCATTGTCCTTGTTTCCTTAGGGGTTGTTCAATATTATCAACATTTTCACGAGTGTGCAAACAGTGCGAAGGGGAGAGGAGGGTAGACAAATTTGTACACTTTTACATATGCATAAAAAAATGTTGATTCAAAATAACATGCAATATGTAAAATAATGGTAGAATTAAACAAAAATCCCATAGTTTGCTGCATGAAATATATCAGCGCATTTTGCACTCGAATCTCCTTAGGTACCCACTTATACTCATGGGTGGAGAGAAGCAATGCAGATAAAGTGCCTTGTTCAAGCACACAAGTGAAATGCACAGCGAGGGATTCAAGCCCCGACCTCGAGGTTGAGAAACCAAACTGTTCCTGCTGCGCCAAACCTCTTCCACAGATGTTTCCTAGTGATAGAAAAACGGAATTTTTCTGGCATCTTCCTTGGTCTTACTATTATGAAAATATTTACAAAAATGAGGGCAATCTTGCAAAAGACAGGACAGGACTAAATAGTCCAAAAAAATGCATAATATATACATTAAAAATGTCTCATTTAGTTCTGTTACATTATGTCTTCAGTTGTCGAAATGAAGAAGAGATGTGCCTAGTAGTGTATGGTTTATCAACAATAAATCTTATCCACAATCTAGTTTGTCGTCCTCGCATTTCTATCTGCTGTATCTGAAATTTTCTGGCATCTTCCTTGGTCTTACCTGTTAATAAAATTGAAACTCGGGGAGTTTTAACTGCAGGTGGATATGTTTCTATGACAACCAGCTGTCAATAATTGCGGGTGATTATAGGTTGTATAACTTCCTTTGGAGTGTAGCACTTCCTCTATGTAGCGCCTGAATGCGTCCGGTTCTGTTGACAGTAATGCACATATTGGATGACCTACATGCATGAGACTATTGCCAGTACTTAGCATAATGCATTAACTTACATGTTATTAAAAAAGATAAGGAGCTTTATCAGTGGTGTATCTAGGGGGGGTGCGCGGGGGTGCACGCCCATTCAAAAATTACATGCACCCCCCCTCCAGACCCCCAGAAATTATGGCCAAGTAGTTAAAAATCACCTAAAATCACCTTATTTTACAAGTTAACGCCCCTTAACTGATCATTGAGCGCCCCTCCCCCTGTCTCTTATACACATCTAGATGTGTATAAGAGACAACACACTATTTCAAAACTTCTAGGATACACCACTGAGCTTTATATGTTCTGTCTTCCCATCCCCTGTTGCTTGATCAAGTACTGTACATTGCAGTTGTTCTTAAGTAATATCTACTGAATGTGTACCCCATAAGCTTGATAAATTTGATCACGTTGCAGGAGTTATTTGTAGTGTAAATGTGTTTCAAGAAAAGAAACAAATAAATCTGAAAGGGGTCATGACCTGGCTTGTCAGGCATGCCATCATTGGAACAGCGTACATTTTCATTGTTTACAGTCACGATTTAGGTCATTTGTAAGTTAATAATGTCCGTTTACTGCCGGTGAAGCTGAACAAAATGATCATTGGTGTGGAGTTAATGATAGCAATTGTTCAAGTAATTGGTGTATATACTCAATTTTTGTTGGAGTTCTTTCAAAATCAATGAACCATTTTTTTATTTAAGCTTTAGGATTTGAATTGTTAAAACTTGAAAGTGTAAAAGGTGGAGTGGTCTCCCTTAGTTTTTTTGTTTTGATGAAGGTAAATATATCCTGTGAAAAGCTTACTCTATTATATTGCATTCTTTGTTGATATTTCTTATCAAATTATCATTTCTACTGATTGTAGAAAATCTTAATAATTATACAGAAGTTGTTTAATAAATTCATTTGTTTAAATATATTTTTTTTTCAAAAATTTTTAATGCTTAAACCATTGTTTTTATCTATTTCTATTTTCATGTTGATTTTGTCATGCTAATATACAACTCCATTACATTAAATAATATTAATTGTTACAAGCCAGGTTCCCCGTGTTATTCCCTCTTTAAACGGATCACGACTAAATGAGCAAGTCACAAGGCAAACGTACGTATTAATGCAAAGCAATTTATTATGAATCAGGACCAACCCCCCGAACAACATACATCAACCCGCACGGCCCAGTGCTTAACTATAAACTCGACCCAAAATCAGCGAATCTTAGGTTAATCTCAAACGTCAAGTCTATCCCACATAAAACACATTAACTGAGATCAACCAACCCACTTCAATATCTACCACTCAATGGAGAGCGACACCCCAAACTGCAACCAACCCCTATTATCCAATGTTCATCATTTCTTCAAAAATCAATGTTTCAACGAAATATATATAAAGTACTTGCGGTTGACTCAATGTCTCAACTCGTGCTTATGCACCTCGTTTCCAGCTTTTGTGCCAGGTCCGTTGCTTGTATAAAGCCACCGAAGTACAGTGTCTCTTCTCCAGACAGACAGTATTTTCATTCAGTTTCCAAAATTCAAATTCAAATTACCAGGGGAGCCCTGAGATACACATCAATCACAGCATGATGTTTGCAGGTTATGCGTTAACAGTTATAATAACAGTAAAATAATAGCAATAATAATAATAGTAACAGTAATAATAGTAATAATAATAGTAACAGTAATAATAATAATAATAATTGCTACGAAGCAGCCAATTCATATTCTTGACAGCAATTTGACCTCTGAAAGGTCATTGTTTGTCAAAAACAGGCGCCTAAGACGACTGAAAAGCGGAGTTTCCTTCTTTCGTTCTGCCGGGTAAAATCAATTACTTTAGGCGACGTTTGTAGACTAACCTACTCGTACCAACGTCCGCATGTCACGCTAGCCAGGCCTAGACTAGCTAGGATGGTAGGCCTAGCCTTGAAGGGACGAAGGTCCCAATGAAAAACGACATCGCTCCTTGATAGCTAACATTGTCTATTTAACATCACAATAATTCATTATTAGACTTATAGTTGTTTTTTGAATTGTACTCCACAAATCTCAGCCGATACCTCGCATAACTCGTTAACGTCTCACACCAATTTAATCCGTATCATACTTTCATACGCAAATTAACAATTAATTGTCATACAAATTATCTACGTTAACCCATCAAACCTAAACCCCCCTTACACAGAGATCAGTACACCCCTAAGGTTCACAATATCATTTCCTGTCAACACAGTGTCTGTGTTGTCATGACAACAGTATTATAATAGAGTAAAATTCCGCCCTCTTGTGACATTAATATTGGTATAAAATTAATAACATGAGAATATGATTATAATATAAGCCTACGTTTATGTCTTCATATCATGTAGATATTTCTGACTAGAATTGTACATTGTTAATTTATTTGAAGAATCTAATTCATTCAAATTTTGATGGAATAATGATTTTTCCTGAGTTTGTTTTAATAGTTCAAGTTCCAAAGTGTGGGCTGACAGCAATTTGTCATCACACAATGGCTGATGTAAACATAGTCCGGGTTTCTGCAGTTAGGTGGCTCTCACTGTCTCTGCCTGGTCCATATTTTCTGGTACTTATTTTGTTCAGTGATGTTACAATTTTATCTAATTGTCTTTTATTGATTTTAATTATTTGATTATAGTACAATTCCTCAGTTACTGTACATACTTTACTGACCCAGAAGCTATTTTGTACAGTAATTGCGAATCATTCATACTGGGATCAAGTAAGATTCCCGCACATTTGTACGTACTTTAGAGTAGCAAACTATAGCATAGATTGCGCGGCATTTAAAATATGTAAAGCGCTCATGGCGCATCGACACTACAGTGCCTTTCAAAGCTTAAACATAAGTTCAAAGGGAACAATTCTTCGCAAAGTTTTATGAATGTTTTTTTTTATGGAAATTTTTTTCTTAGTGATTTTATAATTAATTGGTGTTTGACTACACCGTAAAAATAAGAGGTCAATGAAATGACTTTTATAGTTAACTATATTAATTTGATAAATCTACTGTAACTTGTTAATGATGATTTTCTGTTGACAACACTAATTACTATAAGTACCAAACCAAATGAAACTGCTCCAACATATGCTACCACCAGTTTTTGTTGCACTATAAGTAAAATACATGCCCTCAACTAGGTGTCAAAAGTTATTAGCCTTTTAATTATGATGCTAATTGACCCATTGATTGTTTATCTCTCCAAACAGGTTGATAAGTGTCCAATTGAGGATTTGTTTTGTGACCTTCGTGATGGTAACAAGCTTTTAAGTCTGTTAGAAGTCCTATGCCAGAAACAATTTGTAAGTATTTAATAAAAAATGTCAATTCACTTTTAGGTAATTATTCTGTTGTAATTAACATCTGTATGTTGATTTATTACAGGTCTCTCTCCACTTTTGGGACCAGGGATTTCATGGTCTTAAACAGCTTTAGTCATTGAATTAGAATAAAAAATAAATAAAAGATGGACCTTCCTTTGGGGGCCACAAAAAGGTGGTTTAAAATTAGAAGTGGTCTTAGTTTGAGGGGTCTTTAATTAGAGAGAGACATGCACTTCAAATATTCTCACAATAAGCCAAGTACAGTACTCTCACTAAAATGATTTGACTAAAAAACAGTGTTCATTGTTTTTCCATCTTAAAATGCTCAGATTCCAAATGATATGATTTTAATGTAATGCCCCTTAACGTGCACCGAAACACAGTGTAATGACTCCCTAAATGCACCACATCAAAATCTACTAAAATATTTGCAGTCCTAATTATAGCTCTATTTTTATTCCTAATCAAAAAGCAATTTTTAAAAAATCAGGCATTAATTGAGAGTTACCTATCTTGAAATCAGGAGGTTAATTGTGCATTGCTTTATAAGTTTATTTAAAGAGGAGTAGTTAAACATTCATTATATTTTTTCCATTTTTTTTCTTGTTTTAATGGAGTTAGTTCTTTGAGGAAAAAAAATTGTACTGTATTAATTGTATAATTCCACCATTACATTAACTACTAAGGGAGCCTGTCAAAACAAAACAACGCGAAATCGCGAAGTTGAAGTTTATACTGCCAAAGCATTATGCACAATGGAAATATTGATAAGATCTCTCATAAATAACCTAATCTATTTCTGTAAAACACCATCATTTCAATCGGAAAAAATGAATTTCATTTCAACGAATAAAAATAACTTGGTACTATAAAGATAAAGCACAAAGTTGAGAGACCTTTCAGAAGCAAGTCAGACTTTATCTTCCTGTAAACTCTCATCATTTTTATGGATAAAAGATAAACTTGCCTGATGAATCATCTGCAGTCACTCCTTTATTATCTTTTATGCCAATCCTTGCAACCAGGGTTATCAGCCTTGCTCTTCAGCCTTGCTCACCTATAATTTAGTACATTGCTGAGTCTCCATTTTTCATGAAGTTTTTAAAACTTTTTCTTTTTTCTTTTTTAGTAACTTTGTTTTCCTCAAATTTTAGTTTTACTTTTATTTATAAGTTTTTCCCTTTCTGTTGAGATACATGGACCTATCTTTCACTTTTGAAAGATAGGTCCATGCATTTGAATGGACCAGTTGACATGTGAACGATACATTAATAATTATGTGTATAAATTGTTTATAGAATTCGTAATTGATTTTAATAAAATTTGTTATATTATGCCACATCTCTTTAAGTGCAAAGTAATTGGATTTATTAATGTCCTCAATATCCTTTTGGGACAGTTACATTAATTCATATTACTGCTACTTAGACCAATAATTATTTAGGTTCATCCATAATTTTTAACATTTTATAAGAGTACAAATCATACTCTTTTCTGTGACCCCCCCCCTCCCCTGAAAGAGTAAACAAAATAAAATGTTGGCTTGTGTCATTTGGAGGTCATCACTTTATCTTCTTCATGAAAGAGTAATTGAACTTACGCCTACACTTTCAACCCTCCTTCAGCCTGAAGAATTTGTATTGTACTCTCTTGAAAATGTTGAAAATTTTGGATGTCCTTACAAACTTTAGACACGCCAAGTCTGAAATCTAAATGGCGCCCTCTGTACTTCCAGGCCAGAGAAAAAGGTCGTATGAGAGTTCACCATCTTAATAATGTCAACAGAGCTTTGCAGATTCTAGAAAGAAACAACGTAAGTAGAGCTTCTCTCTCAATTCGCCTCAGTCACATTTTTTAGATGTGTGTGCATCATTTTAGATTGTTTACTATTCACTCTACTAATTTCATGCATGTTTGCTAGTGCCTCTTATATCTTTTAATTTAAACCTATCTTCAGTATGTCAGAGTATGTGTACTTGTCAAATGAAGTGAGTGTATTCTTTTATCAGTCAGTGATGTTTTCAATTACATGAGGTGCATTCCAAACTAGGTTGTATTGTTATATAAGTACAAGCTTTACATAGTCTTAAAAAGAATGTCTGAATGTGAGATGTTTGAGTCTATACTTTAATAGGGCATCGAACTCACTAGATGAATAATTGCTGGATTAATTTTGGGATGGTTGTGTGGATAGATGGAAGATTAAGGATGATGGAATGAAAGATTAGTGTATACAGATGATTAGTAAATGGGATTAACTGAGATTTATTTGCAACCTACTTTGTGCATTTGCAAATGTGCTTAATCCTCAATATTTAGCATTATGAGGCATTGTTTGGATGAATGTTTTCTAATATATAAAATATGTAGTATTCTTGAAAGTTGGAAGGTTTTGCCAAATATCTGTCTCAAAATGTTCTACAGATTTGCATCCCAGAATGTTAACTTTCAGGAAGAAAGATGATTTTATGTCTAAGCGAATTAATTAATCAATGCTACAAAAACAATATCACTAATACCATACCAGTGGTGTATCTGGGTTGGGCGAAGGTGAAGTTGGAGGGGCTCGATGATTAGGTGAGGGGTTTCAGCTTACAAAATAAGGTGATTTGAGGTGATTTTTAACTACTTGAGCATGATTTTTTTTGTGGGAAATTGGTGGGAGGGGGAATGTAATTTTTTTGGGGAGTGCCTGCACAAACACCCCCCCCCCCGTTACGCTACTGCCGTATATAATGGAAATACATTAGGCATAGAGTACTGACCATTTATCCTTGAAAAAGGTTAGCATTTGTATCTTTAGAATACATTTTTGTTTGCTGATACCATCTAATAAGCTGATCAACAATTTCAATTCAGATTTTTAATTGCAAAAAAAACGTTTTGAATGAAATATCAGTAATGGAATGAAAAGAATGATTATTAACAGATACTTTATTCTGGATGCTTAGTTGTAAAAACATAGGTCTTCCTTAAGGCCCAGTTAAAGATAGTTTATTATATTAGAAATAACAAAAATCATGAAAATATAAACTTTATAACCATAAAATATAATTTAAAAAAAATCAATACATTATCAGGCAATCTGGTGCTGAAGGCTTATTTTTTTTTTTTATAGTACAATAAATGTAACAGATGTGTGTATTAGTTGTACTGTAGGGATCCTTCTTGAAATACATTGAATTGAAATTTTAATGTTTTTTTTTATTACCATAGTTCTGGTGTAAGCATATCCCCCTTTCAATCAAAAGGCAATTTTTTTTTGGCACTACATGCCAAAATCAAAGCTGTCTTTGCTAAGTAGTACCACCAAGCATTAACTCATTGAAATCTTTTGCCTGAGGAAAGGCTGGTATGTAAAATTGGGTGGACTGTAAAGTAGGGGGTAAGTTTAGACCCTAGGGAATGTGGTACATATTGTTGTTATATAGAAATGTATAATTCATTTATTAAGATTAATAATGGTAATGTTTTTATATGTTAATAAATGGTGAATAAATATTTGTTCGCTTAACTTCAGCAACAAATCATGTTGTATGGTACTGTATAATTGTGATTTTGTGATGATTATATGTTCCAATTTTTTCTTTTTAACTTTTAATGTATATTTCTTATGTATTTTTTCATTTTTGTTGTAAAGGTATATTTTAAAATTCTGTACAGCGATATTTTAAAATTCTGTACAGCGCCAGTGATAATTTTAAATGGATATTGTTTTGCGCTTTATTAAATAAAGTTATTATTATAATTTATATTATTTGTAATAATGTTATTTTATTCAAAATCATCATTGTTGGTGGGCGGCGGGTTATAATAAAATTCTTTGAATTGTTATAAATGGTTAATTTTTTTTATTTTTAAAAAGCTGTTTTCAATATTCTTTGAAAAGGAAGATATTTTCTTTAAATTCAGTTTTGGTGACAGTTCATAATGACGATAATTTTTTTGTTTTAAAAAAAAATTGTTGTTTTAATTGGGATTCCAACCGCTACCAAAATTCATTTATCCCAGTAGCCATTTTGGATAAATAAAGGTCAAATTATTAAATAAAAATAATTGTGTAATGTGTATCTTGTGTCATTCAGTTAATCTAATCTAGTAATGAGTTGGGCATGTGCTTGGTCTCTGCTCCGATGCTAAAATGATTGGTAATCTTGGTGGACGAATGTAGGTAAGAATGGCCCCGGTAAAAATGGCCCCGAATGACAAGTAGGTAAAAATGGCCCCAATGAAAAAATTCAGTAATAGAAATGATATTTTTTTTAAATCTTCAAATATTTAAATATTGTAATAAGCAAGAATTGAATCAATGACAAATACAGTTACACAACAGATGCAAATAATGTACTGAGAGATTATCAGAAAACAACGGCCATTGAACATTTTTTGATAGTTGAAATAAGTTTTAAAAACGTTATTCCACTAACAAAGTAGAGGAATGACATACATACAGTACTTCAGCTATCAAAATATGCAACTCATAGATAACCACAAAATTCACTTTTGTTAAGTATCAAATGAAATAACTTTACATGTTATAAACAGTGCAAATAAACAGTAGTTAAAGCATGTGGATCAATTGTGTGTTTGAAAGACAAGTTCATGTATGGGAAAAGGGAGGCTTACTTTACTTCAACAAATGTTCTGCTTGAGTTACTTCAAAGATGTATTTGTTAATCAAATATTGTTTTTAAAGTAAACTGAATAATTAGGAATACATTTATTTAAGCAACATATTTAATTGCATACTTGGTTTCTATTCCCCGCCAAGTAAATTTAAGTGCCTAAAACTATACTAAATAATGTAAACTGAGATACTATATTATATACATAGTTATGTAAATATGTCAATTATGCTAAGAATTAAAATGGCGTGTAATTGTGAGGGTAAAAGTAATTATAGTAGGATCAAATGGTATTGCTAAATCCCCAAAACCTCCTAAAACACACTGTAGAAAACCAAACAATTCAATTGTGATTGACTCACTTGGTATATCAATAAGAAATTTAAATATTTATAAGAACCTATTTTTTGGTTAAAATGTTGATTTTTTTTTGTGAAAAAATACTTGCAAATACACCACAATCCACCAAACACACTGCGAACCCCATCCAAACCCTTTAATTACGATTGTAGAACTCTCTTTTTCTAAAAAAAAAAAAAATAATTTGATGTTCATATAAAACTCATTGTTTGTTGGGTTTACCAATACCCGGATTGAATTTCTGGAAGATTGTGATTCCGCTTCCTTGAAATTGGCCACAAATAAATTATTTTAGTATTAATAAATGCTTGATTTATGTTGATTTATAGATTATGTTGTTGCTATTTTTTAACATTTAAATGGCAAAAAAAAATAAAAAGTGTTATTCATGGCTTTTTTTTTTATCTTTGAATATTTTATGATTGAATATGTAATTTCTGTAAAAAGTAAAATGTAAATGGCAATTTATTTGATGTTAGATTCCTTTTAAAAACTAAATTATTTCCGTTTTAAAAAATGCATATAATGATTTTTAAAAAAAATCAGTTTTAATACAGAATTTTATTATTGGGGCCATTTTTACCTACCTGTCATTTGGGGCCATTTTTACCAGGGCCATTTTTACCGGGGCCATTTTTTCCGAGGCCACTTTTTCCGGGGCCATTCTTACCGTACACCCTTGGTGGACAATACATTTTTCTGAAAACAATATTGTTCTGTTTAAGGTGTTTATATTAGTATCAAATTGATACCATACTTCAAGAAGTACATACAGTACTTAATCACATAGGAAATCCATAGAATTATTATCATTTATGAAGTGTTTGGAACAAATATTTGGAACATGAATTTAAAAAAAAACATTTGAACTGTGTATAAATATTCATCATTTTTTTACGGTTTTTCCCAACCTCAACCCCGGTGCACCTCTTGAGTTGTAATGACCATTCCGTGCCTTATCAGTAAATTCCTTGGATTTCTCCTCTTAATCTTCCATAGTATCTGGGAATGTTAATAGAGTCTACCTCTACTTGGTATTGCTTTTGATTTTCTGGAAAAAAAAAGTTAGAAGAGTAAATTTAAAGGCAGTGAAATTGTATTACTGTTGTATACAAATAAATGATGTATTTATTTAAAACTAATTCCCCATTAAATTACTGTAAGGCACCAATTTAATTCAATTAAAATATATACTGTACCAGAATTTGATGTGTATTGATTAATTGATTGATATATTTTTAAAAATTTAGTTGGAGATAAGAATAATTATAAAATGGTCAGTAAATATTTAAAATCTTAATAATACGTGTGAAATATTTAAGGTAGAAAAATATCCACAAGTTTGAAATTTTGTAAATGACAAAGTGATTTTTCTTTTGTTGTTGTTCTGTAAAGGAACATGATGTTATTTGGTAGGCATTATAGAAGGATGTAGAGTTCCTCATAAATATTCATAAGGGACCACCTATAGCATATCACATTACCACTGTTGTTAGGTTCTCATTAAATATAGATTAAATCACTTCCTATTCTCAGTTCACTCATATACCTATAGGATGCCAACTTCATGTTTTTCTATATGAGTACAGTAACACTGAGAAAAAATTCTAGATGCTATCTTAAGCTGTTATGTTTCATTCTTTAAAACATTGTCACAAATGTTATCTATAAGAATAGCTATTCCTTACCATTATCTATGATTAATTCACTGCAGATACCGATACCTCATAATAGTAATATAACTAATACTGTATAGTGTTTTACTCACTACGCAGTTTGTTTTTAAAGAAGTGGAATTAAAGTCTAGAGGCCATCGTAGATTCTATAG